AGGCTGCTGCCAAGAATTAGGCCTGTTTTTTTCCAGCTCCCCATGAGGTTACATTTTGCTTGGGTGAGAAAATGGACATTTTCCTTTTACAGATCTTCACTGCACAGAATAAGTCAGGAGTCCCCTGAATGAAATCCGGTCATTAGTCTACCTTTTATAATCTACATAATACTTCCAGAGAAGGGCAGAGGGAGGGGGTTACAGGCTGGCAAACCAGAGACCCAAAAGGGCTCATCTGAGCCCTGTTAATGCAAGGAAACGCATTGCACCCTATCAGTACCAGCACCTTCTTGCACTGAATATTCAATCATGGAGCATAACTGGCTCAGAGCTTGCATATATTGTAGGTTGAACACAGATAGCATTTCCTGCAATATCAGAAATACATTTCAAAAATGTAAGTAATTTTGACTTTGTTCCTTAGTATAAAAGGTTATTGGACATTCGGAGAAGGCTATGTAGTTCAGTATGGTTGAAGTCAGTAGAATTGTTGGGGACTGAGAAGGGGAGGAGAGATGTCATGTAAAAGATGCAAAGACCCTGGATCAAGTCCATGGTACTTGGGGCAAAAGAGAAAAGTAAGGGTTCTAGAGGCATTTCAGGACTGGGTAACAAATTGAATGTGGGTGACCAGACATTGGAGAGAATTGAGAATGACTTCCAGTTTTGTAGTTTAAGTAATGGCATGGGCTGGGGCAGAGAGGTTGAAGATAATGGGTATGGATGTGAAAACATGTTTGAGTTTGAGTCATTTACGTGCAGCCTTAATCAAAATTCACTGCAACTCAGATTCATTTCCATTTCTAGTCCCATTGCTGCCCCCAACCAATATGATGGAAGAACTGGCTAACATTTTGAAGGTAACAATTATCTATCTATCATCTATCTATCTATCTATCTATCTATCTATCTATCTATCTATCTATCTATCTATCTATCTATCATCTATCTATCTATATCTATCTATCTATCTATCTATCTATCTATCTATCATCTATCTATCTATCTATCATCTATCTATCTATCTATCATCTATCATCTATCTATCATCTATCTATCTATCTATCTATCTATCTATCTATCTATCATCATCTATCATCATCTATCATCTATCTATCTATCATCTATCTATCTATATCTATCTATCTATCTGTCTATCTATCTATCATCTATCTATCTATCTATCTATCTATCTATCTATCATCTATCTATATCTATATCATCTATCTATCATCTATTTATCTATCATCTATCTAAACATCTATGTAACACATCCCCTGATTTGAGTGCCTTCACCCTATTAATGTAGCATATCCTTCAGTTTTGCCTCCCCGCACGTCTAAGTGACATGGGGTATAAGCAAAAATCCTCAACCTTGTTCCTGTGATGAATACTAGGTTAACATAAGTAAATTTTGGAAACTTGGGAATTTGCCAGTCTCAACTTTCTGTCTAATTTACATAATCATTTGCATATGACTGCATATGTTAAGAAAACATTTGTAGTTTTCTTATGTATTACTATATCTTTTTTTTCTTTCAAAATTTGAAGTTACCACTTACTATTGATTTCTTTGGGATTTTTTTTTAAAAATTTATCTTTATTGTTGAAAATATTACAGATGTCCCCTTTTTTCCCCATTGACCCCTTCCACCCGGCACCCACTCCCTGTCCCAGGTCTTCACTACTTCACTACACTATCGTCTGCGTCGACGGGTTGTGCATATATGCATGTGAATTCTTTGGTTAATATCCCCTTCCCCCACCTTCCCCCTGAGATTCGTCAGTCTGTTCCATGCTTCTGTGTCACTGAATCTATTTTGTTCATCAGTTTATGTTCTTTAGATTCCACATATAAGTGAGATCAAATGATATTTGTATTTGTCTTTTGGATTTTTTTAATAGTCATACCAGAGTCTTTTTAGCATAGCAAGAAGGAGAATATAAGCAGTATTACTCCTAGTTTTCTTCTTAGACAACTGTGCTCTCCTAATCAGAGCTGAAGGGTCCTAGAAATGGGGATCAAAATATATTTTCAGATATTTGTAGGAACTCTTAGAAAGCTGTGTGGTGAAGCACCTTCACAGAAGAATGTTACCAGTTGTGAAGGAGTTGTGAACTCCTCTGGAGAGATGTGGCAACACCGTAAACAATTAAGCTCATTTCATATATTGCTTTTCCTCAGAGTGAGGTCAATCTGTTTACCCTCAATCTCTTAAAATCGCATTTCTAATAGTATTATTTTCTATCATTCTTATCTTGAGCTCCTCAGCTTTCTCAAAACATCTGATATACCTTAGCCTTTAAAAAATAAGTGAATACATAAATGAGCCATGTGGGGTGGGGGAGAAACCTCCTTTTCTAAGCATTATTGTACCCTTATTGAAGATGTATGTTAATGAATTAGCCATTCATTCAGCCAAAATACATTCAGCTCTATATTGTATGTAGTGAGCATATGTGGCTTTTCCCCACCTACTCTTTCATCCCTAACAGCAGCCGAATTTCTTTTTCCAGATGATTTCTCCTCCAGTGTGAGTATTCCTGGTGGGATGGTAAATCCAAGCTCCTATCTTACAACTATCAAAACCAAAGGGCTAAAAAAAACAAAACAAAACACACACACACACACACACACACACAAGGGGCTCTCTTCTACAATAAAGATAAATTAAAACAAAAACAAAACAACAACCAAAAAAAACACCCAAAAGACTCCCTGAAGATGTGGATTTCTTCTGCCACATCCCTTCTCACTGCTCAGTGCAGTACACAATTTAAGCTCAGCCTGTCAGAAGCAGTTTCATGAGACTCTGAATCTTAATCTGGTAACATGAGGCTACAAAAAATTACAGTGTATTCTTCCTAGTAAGAGTGCCCTCACAAGAAGATTCCCTGCTAGGAGTCTACACCTGAGGTTTCTGATCTGTAGACCTCTATCTTGTCTCAAGCCTTGTTCTTTTTTTTTCTTTTAATTTTTTAATGCATAAATAAGTGGAACAACAAATCAATGTTTCTCTCTCCTCTCTCTCTCTCTCTCTCCCTCCCTTCCTTCTCTCTATCTAAAATCAATCAATCAATTTTAAAAAGAAAAAAAGAAAGCTTCCTGGGTTGATTTCTGTCCTCTGAGTTAGTCTGCTTACTGTACATGGTTTGTTTTTAGAGTATAAAGTGTCATGTGTGGGCTTAGGGAAAACAGTATTATATAGCACCGTATATAAACAACATTACCATTAACTAGACCAGAGCTATATAAAAATAACATGCTATCTTTTTTTTTCTAAGTTTCTTTATCTTTATTATCGAAAATATTACAGATGTCCCCTTTTCAAGCCCTGTTCTTTAACTTTCCCATAAGTTTCTCGAGTTCTCAAAACCCTTTCAACCAATTTCCTTTTCTTTGGGTTTCTGTTGCTGTTAATCAAAGAACCTTAACTGAAACATTTTGCTTGGCACTGACAATACAGCAGTCAACAAAACAGACAAAGTTCCTTGCCCTCATGAAGCTTAAATATTAGTGGAGAGCACTAAGATAAGAAACCCTAGATTAGGAAAAGTCAGCCATTGCTTTCATATACTCATGTATTTTAGACCATTCATTTATTCATTTACACACACAATAAATGTTTATGACATGCCTACAAAGTGCCAGATATTATAAGTATGAACTTAATCCATTTTATTTGTTTTGCTTAATCAACAGAGGTATAACTAGGTCCTTCCTCCATTGCCCCAAACTCCTTGTGTCCCCTAAATTCTTGAAGGTCAGGACCAGAAACACACCCATTAACCATAGTCTGGAGCTGCTGAGGATACAACCTTTTGCCCTTTCACTCCCAACCTTACCATATCCCTGGGTACAGGGGAGGTAGGCCATCACAGATAATCACTGTCACCTTTGGGATTTCTGAAAAAACAGTAAGGATTAGGGTCCTGGGCAGGAGCCTCCTTGAGCTTGCTCCAGAGAGAGTTTAGTACTAGTCAGTGTTTTTCAGCTTGCCCACAGGGTACCCAGAGCACAGCAGAGAATGAACAGTTAGAACCAGTACCCTGAAAGCTCCAAGGGGCTTTGTAAATGTCATGACTTAGTCATGAGGGTTTGCTTGTGGTATTGGGAAATGGAATCCTGCCTTACCCAGTCTGTCTCCCCAAAACCTGAAATAGCCTACTCTCAGTCCTGACTAAATACTGCAACATTTCCTGCTGGTGAAGCACTACTCTTTCACCATATTCCTGTTTTAATCATTCACTATTCCAATGTGTATATCTGGTCTACCCAGGTAAACAGTAAGTTGTTGGAGGCAATAGCGTAAATATGACATGTCTGAATCTTTTTCTTCATGTCAACTCTCAATGAATGCCTGGGAGTTGATTGTTGATTGAAAACAGCCCAAAGGTTCTAGGGCCTGTTTTCCATAGTCACTTATGTCTATCTTCACACAAGTGTCAGCCATATAGTACTATACATAAAAAACATTACCCTTAACCTGTACCCAGGGATATGGGAAGGTTGGGGGTGAAAAGGTAAAAGGTTGTATCCTCAGCAGCTCTAGGAAGAGCAAACCAAAGGATGCCTAAAAGATGTTTAATCAGTGTTTTCCCTACAATTTCAAACTGTCACCTATTTTGTGGTAAACCCGTTTTACTAATTAGCAGGAGAAGTCATGATAGGAATCATGAATTTTTATGTAAAACAGCATTTCTATTCTTGACAGTATGTCAGATCATTAGAGATAGACTGTACATTCATCACTTCGGCAGCAGCAGAACAATCAGAGTCCTATTATTCTCTGAAAATAAATATAATCACGGGCATTTTCACAGTGAAAAATTATCTCCCAAATCAAAGCACTTGCAAAGTTACATATCTCTAGATTTGCTAATTACACCCAAGTCTTGTCCCTAAATCTGTTTTTGAATGAAGGTGACAATATTGTTAGTTCAAAGACATTTTTAACATTGAGATACTTTGTTCATCATTTATGTTAGCTCTTATTCACTCACTGGTTCACCTTCCCCTACAAAAAAAGTACACAAAGCCTTATGGGGAACAAAGGATGTGGGATTTCATCAGAGCAAAATTACAGAGGCAAGGGGATTCTCTGAGGCAGATAACCAGGGGCCTAAGGGTCTGCCTACTTTTTATGTCTATGGGATGGCAGAGAGGGCAAAGAAGAGTCTAAGAACTTTATACCAGTGACAGGCACTAAAGTATTCTAGTCTATTTAGAATCAGTGTTAAATCTTACTGGAAGGATTCAATGTGGTACTTTTCATAGGGCAGACATGGTGAGTGAGGCCATGAAGGGGTGAGAGGTGGGTGGGGTTAGAAAGAGAAAGGAGTTAAAAGTATTGTGTTTCACTATGCTAGAAAATTTATAGACATCATCTCATTTAAGCCTCTCTTCAGCTCAAGGATTAGCATACTGTTGTTATTACTTCCCCAAGTCTCACATCTAGGACTCTGTCACATTTCTGTCAAGAGCTGGGATTTGAACACAACCCATCTCAGTTGTCTCCACAGTCCACCGTACCATTCATACTCACAAAGATAATGGGAGACTAGGTGTATGGTACTGAAACCCAAGAGTTTATCTTTCTTTCTCATTTGAAAGGTCCAGTGGTCTTTATTTATGTATGTATACATTTATTTATTGCTGAAAGTGTTAATACATTCTCTCAGTACAAGATTTGAAAGATATAAAAAAGTATAAGGTGAAAAGTAAATCTTCCTCCCTTTCTTGCTTCTGGATACCCTGTTATTCTTCCTGAAGGCAACCACTGATATCAGTTGCCTGTGTATCCTTCCAGAACGTTGATTTCTTTATTCATTTTTATCCAAGACCAAATGCAAGCAGCCTGCCTGGCTGGGAAGCCTTGGTGGCAGTATTTGGAATGGGATTAAGAAGACCAGCTATCATGCTAGTATAAATCAGGCAAAATTCATCTTCAGCACTCATTCTGTTGCCTTTGGGTGATTCTTCTGGTCTCCATTCCCCTACTGTCTTGCTTACCTTGACCTGTCCTTTCCTCCCTAGAGAGAAACTCCACCTTCAGACACCTCCTGTTCTGTTACATTCCTTTGGAACTCTGCTTGCTGTTGCTTTATGAGTTGTCTTGGCTGAGAAATTTATCCCCATTAGAGAATTCATGGGTGTCTGTGGATTGATGAGTTACCCTTTTCACAGAGCATGTTTCCATTTTAACAAGGGGCTTCAATCAAAAGAGTGACTTGAATAATGGGGATTTCAGGTGCTTTGTCATGACAGGCCAACAGGATAGTGAGATTGTGTTTGTTTGTTTGTTTGTTTGTTTTCCCCAAAAGGTACAACCTTGTGGCTCTTCCCATTTACTTCCTCTGTGGGTGCCAGGTCAACTGGGTATCAAGAAACTTTGGCTACCTGAAATTGTTTGACTCTCAAGCACTAAGAACCCTGATCTTGATTTTTTTTTTCTTTCAACAGCATGTGGACACTCAGAGTTTTCAAAACAAAACTTCCAATGCTATAGACATTTCTCCCTTAATATATTATAACTATAACCTCAAATCCTTTTTTACATTATGCATCACCATTTATTCTTTTTTAAAGATTGTTATAATTTTCTTTTTTTTAAATTTGTCTTTATTGTTGAAAGTATTACAGATATCCCCTTTTTTTCTCCCATTGATTCCTTCCACCCTGCATCTACCCCACCCCCAGGCCTTCCCCATACCAATGTCTGTGTCCATAGGTATAACCTCAAATCTTATCTAAAAAAGAAAGAACTATCACAATAAATAGGATAATTATTCTGACTTTAATATTCACTAAGTGGTATCCTATTCTGCTCCTTCCAAAATAATATTTAGAATATGAAGTTGGAGCAGATGTCTTCATAAATGCAACATTTCCCCCAATCTGGGCGTGGGGAGAGTCAGGTATTTCTGCTGGGATTTATTGAAGAAAGTTTTGTTTATGAAAGGAATTCATTTTGATTTCCATAGGTAATATTCTTTTTTTTGTTTTGTTAAATATACCTTTATTGATTTCAGAGAGAGGAAAGGAGAGGGAGAGAGAAACAGAAACATCAATGATGAGAGAGTCATTGATCGAGCCCACAACCCGGGTTGCTTGGATCCTAGGTTGACTCTCAACCGCTGAGCCACGCCCGGCCAGGCTCCATAGGTAATATTCTTCTCACACAATTAGGTACAACATCACAACTCAAGGGAGAGAAACAGTAGGGATCTTCATCAAAGTCATCTGTATTAACAACAACAACAAAAAAGAACATTTTTTTTGTTAAAATTTTTTTAACAAAGTCACTGTGGTATTGGGGACTTTGCATATAGTAACAGCATAAGAATTTTCTATCTAATGAAGAAACAGGGAAATTAGAAAGGAAGTGAAAGCTGTGGTGCTTCCCTTGGATAGCTTAATATAAATCCAGGGTGAATGAATTCATCTTGACAACACTGTTTAGGCAATTACAAGTGCATATGTTCTTCATGCATTGTGAATAACAATCTGTGTTATTCACAGTAACCTTAACCTAAGGGAGGATACACATGGACAAGCCTCAGAGGCCTTCAGAAGAGACAACATAAAATGGTAACACATGCATATCTATACCCCCTATGAATTTAATATTCTTGCTCTGAAGGTTTAGCTGTTTCTCAGCCTGAGAGTGCCTAGTGGTACAGAAGGCACAGGTTTTCACTCTGTGCTAATGAAATAGAGTTTGTGGCTGCCACAGTCTGATGGCAGCATCCAGATTGCAGTTTTAGAATCTGGGCCCAAGAGGCTGGACTACCTGCCCTGCTGGCTGAGTTAGTTCACAACTCCAGGTGCCTTACTTCTCTGGATCTATTGCTTGGTACAACATTAAAATCCTGGACATAAAAAAAGAAAAAAATCCTGGACATGGGATTTGCTAGTGCTTCCTATAAGAAAAATGTGGACATTTGATGCATATATTTGTTAATGAAACAATATCCCACAGGAATAGCAGGGGAGCCTATATTAACCAACCCCTTTGCAAAAGTGATTTTACCCAATCAGCTCCGACTAGTATTTACTAAGGAGCTTTCATAACCCCTGCCTTCTATACGTCATGGCCTCTCAGTGCCTCCATATGAGCACCAGAACATATCCACGAGTTAGCTGGCCAGAGTTTGATGGACACTTGTGGTCAACGAAAAGTTTTTTTATATGCACCAACTTTTCCATACAGAAATGGAGACTGAGACTCTGTACACTCGTCCTATTAGCTTAAACTGGAAAATAGTGTTGCCTCACACAGTGCTGTATTGAAGATAGAGAGAACGCAGCTCTGAGAGTAATATGCCTAAGGTCACAGAGTTAGTGACAGAGTTGGGACTTGAGCCAAAGCCTTCTGACTCCAAGTTTGATGCTTTAAATAAAAACCCACCATGCTGATTCCAGATCAGTTGCAGTCATTGAAAATAGAATTGTTGTATGGAACCACCATAATGAAAAATATAAGTAGAAAAGGCAGTTCTACAGTCAGCACTGAGAAGGTGGAAGAATGATTACAGTCAGGCCACCAAAGGTACTCTGTGTATATGAATTGGAGTCTACTTTGGCCTTTAAGAAAGCAACCAAAGGGCACTGTACCATCATCCAGCTGGAAGCACAGAACACAGAGTCATCACAACATCTACTTGAGTTCTTAAGTTCTTGCTCACTTTGCCTTTCTCTTCACTTTAGACCTTTAGACCAATTATTTCCCTATATTTTCCCTCCCATCACCCATCTCCACCTCAGTATCTGTCTCTGTACCTAGAAATTTGTTTTTCCTGTGGAAGAAGATGAGTATCTAAGAGTGTTGTACAGCTCAGTGGATATTCATGGTAGAGTGTGGTGAGCACTAGCTTTAAAGCCAGGAGACCCAAATCCTGCTACCAGTTCTCTACTGATGGGCTGAGTGACTGTCCATAAGGCAGTTTTCTTTTCCTGCTTAAGGTTCCTCAACTGTAAACTGAGGGGATTGCACTAGACAATGTCTAAGTTTTTTTTTTTTTTTTCTGGTTTTAGTAACCTAAACATTTTAAAAAAATTACCCATGACTTCTTTTGATCTTTAGACCCTTCTCTCCACCATTAGTCTAATGACACACCAGATTTGTACACAGTAAGTGCTTCTATATACACTTTCTCGGCCAAGAATGAGCTCATGTATATACAAGCACATGTGCTTTTGTTTTGAGGAAGAAAATTTCCCAAGAAGTATTTCCCACATATGTGGCCTCATATTAATTCAACATCTCTGATATATATTAGTGTAGACAGCACAGCCTTTTCTCTTACCATTTGGGAAGCTTATTTCTGAAGGAGTGCCTTGTGCAGAGCCTAAAGGTTTGAAAGTAGAACTAGTTGCATTTGACTTTAGGGATGGTATCAACAATTTGTGCTTGAAGGTTTTTTTCAGTCTTTCCTGTTTATATCCAACATTTAGCTCATACCTGCTGCTCCCATCTGAAATGACAACAAAAAGTTAAAAAACATAAAACTCATCAAATTCTATACTTCAGATGAGCAAATTATACCTCAAAATCTTGTTTAAAAAGTATAAAGTCCAATGTACAGAGTGCTTGTTGTGGGCACCTCAAGAAGTCAGATTTCCTATGAAGTTATAAGAAGTAAGTTTGAACTGTAATGTGTGGTACAGGCAGAACCAATTCACCTTCCAAAGATGCCCGCTTTCCCTAGAGCCTGGCATAGCGACCAGCAGGTTACTGACATGCCCAGCATAAAGGAGTAGAACCTTTGAGTTCAAGCACTGCCTTCCCTAAAGGAGCTTCACATTGAGAATGAAAGAAGTTGCCTGAATTGGATGAAAGAGCCTTTTTGTACATAGAAAATCAGTTTGCCTGGACTGGAGATACTCCCAGAGGCTTCATCAGAGTCCACCACATCTCCCACTGTGCAGGAAGGACCATCGGCCCATCAAGGCAGCCCACTAGCCAGGCATCTTAGGGATGCTTACAAGTTCTCCACCTGCACTATCACCCTTTGCTTCCCACATTCACTCAACTTACTGTTGGCTACAGGCCAGAAACCTCTGTGACACAGTGCCTGGAATACAGTAGGCACTCAATCAATATTCTTTTAATTGAATCAATACACAGGTGACAGCGAGGAAAAGCAATCCAAAGAAACTGGGCCAAAAAGAGAAGCTTCACTAAGTTAAAACATGGCCCAAGTCACGTCCTTCACCTGACTTCATTAATCTCACCACAGAAGTACAAGTCATTTTCATGACATGGAAACAGCCTCCATTTTGATGCTGATGCTGTATTAACTCAAGTAAGGAGACAAGTTAATCTGATTAGTTTTATAAAACCTGTAAAATTCAAAACCTTACCCAAACTGGCACCTTACCAGAAGAGTTATCCAGTTGTGACCACCTGCAACAGAAGTGTATCTGCCACTGCTCCCGCACACCCTCCTTCATCACGCAGTGGAACACAAAGATGAGGAATCCTATGACAGGAGAAGGTCAGTCTTTTTCAGCTTCTTTCACTAGCTGTCACCAATACCCAGGCTCAGGTCTACTTCTCTCACCATAAATACTCCTTCTAAGGAACCCCAGGGTCGTCATTGGCTTTCCAAGCTCATCTTTCTAGCCTCCCTGCCAAAGGCAGTGATGGCAGGAAGATCTGTTTCAAGACTTCATGTCAACCAGTTTTCCCCCTGGGCTACTGTTCCTCCTAGAGCTTGAGATATCAGGTCTGCAATGATAGTCAGCCTCTGAGATGGCTTTCAATGATTTCCACATCCTGGCAATTACATCCTTATGTAGTGTCCTCCCACATTGTACCAATAGTATATGGCAGAAGTGATGGCATGTTACTTCCAAAATTGTTATGAAAGACATTGTCCCCGGCCCCTCCTCTCATCATTCACTTCAAAGGAAGCCAAGTATTATGTTTTGAGGACACCCTGATAGCCCTGTAGAGAGGCACACATGTGAGAAACTGAGGCTTCTAACCCACAGCCATGTGAGTGAACCTTTCTGGAAGCAGATTCTCTAGACTTAGTCTTCAGATGACTGCAGCGCTGGCTGACAGAATGACTGCAACTTTGTAAGAGTTCAGCCAGAAGCACCCAGCTAAGCTTCTCCCGAATTCCTGATCCTCAGAAACTGTGTAAGCATTTGTTCTTTTAGGCTGCTAAAACTTGGGGGCAATTTGTTACATAGCAATAAATAATACACACACTCTTTGGCACAATTACACTGTGTGGAGACCATAACTTTGGTGCCCTAATTTCCCACTGCCACTCCTGATTTTGCCCTGCAAGCGGGATAGAAGTGCTGAAGTTATCTACAAGCAATATTGGCCATTTCCCCACCCTCTGAAATAACTCCTGGGGAGGTAAAAGTAGGATGCAAGATTATCCTGATTACAATGCCCTGGAAAGCCAATTGGATTTCCTAAGGTTTAGGGGTGGAATGGGCAAAAATAACTCTTGTCAACAGCCTGACTGTTATTTATGATCCATGCTAAAAAGCCTTTTTATTTGCAAAGCCTTTCCAGATACTTCAAACTGAAACTCATCTGTCCCATTTCTGAATTCTCGTAGCACTTTGTTATAATATTTGCCATGTTAGGTCATATTATTCTCCATGTATTGTCAATCTCTCTACCTTGTTGTAATGTCTTTAGGGCTGAAGTATCTTTCCTTTTCATCTTTATATAGCTTCTCCTTTTGCCTCTAGTACTATGTGTAGCAGCTCAATAGATGTTTGTTGACTTGAACCTCAAGGCACTTGATACACAAACTCTCAGAGCCTTCTGCAACCTTAGTAATACCTTCTTAGGCTTCAAAATATTTATTTTGGCCCAAGTGCAGTTTGGAAACCATTGTTCTCTATACAAGGTTCAACTTGCCTCTTCTTTGGTCAGTTGTCCTGAAGGTAAACAATTAGTGATGGATCAAAGGTATCTTAACTCATTGCAAGCTGAGCATGAGTCAACAGTAAATGCCCCCAAAACTCACTTCAGCTAGGCCATTAGTGAGAGTAGAGAATCTCGATTGAGACAGATGAGAATCTCCTGCCATCTGCCCTGGTTTGGCCCTTCCTCCTACCAGTACCATACTCAGTTTGGGAGACTTTGTTTTAAAAGGATGATGAAAAATGGAACTATTCAAGAATAATTAGAGCAAACCAGAATAGGGATGGACTTGAGGAATGGCTGCAAGACCTGGGTGTGGTATTTGGATAAGAGAAAGCTTGGAGTGAGGAATATAGGGTGGGGAGAGATGGTAGCTACAGTCACAGCTACCATCTGAAAGGGATGTCATGAATAGGACATATTAGACTTGTTCTGTATGTTTGCCAGGTTAGAACTAGGAAAAATGGGAGGAAACTACAACCATGTAGCAATAAATCACAGTTAGCCTTTATTAAATAATGACCATAGGCCATAAGCACTGTGCTATTAATCTTATTAGAGACCGCAGAGCCCAAGAAGTCTAGTAAACTTGACCTAGTCACAGAGCTGATGTTGAGCTGGCAGCAGCAGGACTAAAGGCAGGCAGTCTGGCTGCAAAGCCCAAGAGCTTAACCATTACACTACACTACTCTCAGGAAAGGATGACCTGGATAAGTTTCAGAGCTGATTAGAAGCTATAATGGCAATCATAGGCAATATATTAATATATTTCATGAACATGTTGTATACCTTATATTTATACAATGTTATATGTCAAATACATTTCAATTTTTAAAAAGAGAGAAGTAAAATGTTCTGCTGTATGGAATAGTGAGCTCTCTGTCTCTGGAAAGTTTCAGCAGAGATGCATGACTTCCTGTCACTTTATAGCAAGTTGGATTGGGAAGTTCTTGGTTCCCTGGTTCCAGTCCTGAGACTCTCTGATTCCAGGTGGGAGGCAGCAACCTAGAGGCTAAATGGAATGACAAAGCTCACCACCTCCCCTGAGGGCTTTGTCTCCATTTGTAACCAAACAACTGTGGTGATGAATCAAGCATCCTTTTCTGAGCAGCAGCCACATGGAGGTGGTACAGCAACCTGATGAGAGCAAATCCTAGTCTCAGAGAGGTAAAACTCCAGCTCCAATATGAACAAGGAGCAACAGTGACAACAAGCACCTATTACTGCTCTGATTTCAGGCTTGGAGTTTAAATTAGTTCTCAGACTTAAAGGTTATTCTGTCAATTCCAATGAGCTGCCTGCCAGCTCTCCCTCTCTTCCTGACAGCCTTCCTTTTTCTTTCCAATAACAGATTGATCTACTTACTCATTAGAGCATAGGAATGAGGGAAGACGCCAGGTTTTTGTCACCTGCATTTTTATTTGTGCATCCCTCCTTCAGAAATGGTTCATCATGATCACAATTTTTTTCACATCTGACCACAGGGCAACCTCCTTCAGCCAAAACTGCAAACTTGCCATCTGTTTTTTAAATGGCTAATTTGTTCACTTGCTTCACTGCGTTCTTGTTTTGAGTATTTGGTTCTTGTTTTGAGTATTTTGAGTATTTGTGTGTGTGTGTGTGTGAGAGAGAGAGAGAGAGAGAGAGAGAGAGAGAGAGAGAGAGAGAGAGAGAGACTTGGTGTTCGAAACTCAGGGCTCTGAAAACACCCTTTCTGCAAGGTGGCACATTCTTGTAGGCAGGACTAAGAACTAGGAATGATTGGTCCTTGACTGACATAAAGCATATATGACAGGCAGAGACATATATGACAGGCAGAGACATCTTGGCTCTGTTGATGTTGGATCTATGGGACTTTGGTTTTAGTCCTCAGGAGATCCCCAATTGGATTCTGCTTCTACCCCTGAAGGCTTCCTGCTTAGATAGTACATTTCCCTCCACAATAAGAATGGAGCACTTGTTGTTTTGAAAACCCTCCCCCCACTTTAAGTTCTAAACTGCTTTGCTTTCTGGTTCTTTTGTCAGCTTTCCATTTAACCACCTCTTTCCACAGAAAAAGTCTGTGTACATTCTACACTGAGACTGGTTAGTTCCTTTTTTTTTTTTTTTTTTTAAATTAT